ATTTGTTAATTTTAACATACATCATCTTATTCTTTCTGTTCTTTTCCTTTAAAATATACTGTATGACAGTTGCTGTGGTAAATAGCCAAAGTCCATTTAAAAATATTATAATTTTAAAAGTCATACTGTTTTTCATTTACTAATAAATATTTTTATGCATATGTATTCATAATAAAGTTTATGAGCCTACTGCAATAATCACCTATAGTGAAGTGTTGACTAATCAAAAAAAGTGAATTCATGGCTTAAGTCCTTTCTATAGAAGAATCATCAAATAGGGCCATCATTGCATCTCCACACACACTCACAGGAAACTACCTAAGTAAGTACACTTCAAATGCTATATTTTTTAGGGATTCATTGACTATATTAGATAGTTATACTCACTATTGAATAGCTGAGATTATTTTTATGCATTTATTTTGTTCATGTCATTAACTCACCAAATAATGTGTTTCACATTAAAAACAAAAACAAAAACTATGCCTGTAAAACCAGTACCTCAGAGGACCATAATCCCCACACATACCATTCTCTGTATCACTCCTTTAATTATGTTGTAACTCTGTCTCTGTTTTATCTTTAAATTTTCCTATTTCCTATTCTAAAAATATTTAACATTTACTTCTATTTTACAGTCCTGTTTCCTGTGGTTTAAAAGTGAAATTCTTCATAAGACTTGATGCAAAGAACTGAGAATATATAAATAGACCAAACAACAACTTTCATGTTGAGTGTGAGCTTTTCTACTAATTTTAGGGTTTTGGGGGAAGGTTTTTCTCAAGCTCTAAATTGTTTATAGCTGAGACTGCTTCCACCCAGTGGGAGCTGACCTAAAAACTAGCATTAAATATTCTGTAGTCATGAAGGTGAACAGGAGTTTCCAGCCTTGAAAGTGTGCAAGATTGTCATGATGAACAGTGGGCTTCTCTGCTGGATATTCCATGTCTCCACAATCTGTGATTTCTGCAGATGACTCCCTGTAAATGTGCATAATATTTCTTGAGCAAGGACATTAACCATCTCTACTGTGGCTGATAAATTAATTAATTGATTTACAAAACAACCATCTTCCCAGAAGTGTCATAAAAATGTGTTGTGCATTAAGTGACTATTGGGTGATACAGAAAACTGAAAAAAGCATTCACATTTTTAAACAGTTCATTAGATTAGCATCCAATTGATATATTGTGATTTCTAATGGAAATTTGTGTTACAAAACAATTAGTACTGCTGATTATGTAATGTGAGTTCTGAAGTTGAGAACAAAATTATCCACATTTGTTAGTTTTGCTATGACTCCAAAATTTTTTTTCGGGGGAGGAGGAGGGGACAAGTTTTACTTTGGTTAAGTCAGTGAACTCTTTTGTTATTTTTTCAGCCTCGTAATGGAATTTGGACTTGAGGTCCTAGTTTTTAAAGTCCTTTTTTATTGTTTTTTTGACAGTGAAATACAGACAAAATATAATCTGATGATTTTTAGTTGATTTGCTATGGAATTATAGATATACAGAAACCTTAATATTAAAGTGTGTTCATACTGTTCTCTTTAGGATTAAAGGAAGATTAGATTCAGGTAGCTTAATAAATTAATTCAGTCCATACTGTTGGAGATAGAGATGCAATTCTAATACCAATCTTAAATTTTCCAATTTGTCCTTCTGTGTCTTTCCTCCTCCTCCATTAATGTATTTTTTTTTCAATAAATATTTACTGAGCTCTTGAACTGTTCTAGACATTGGGATTAACAGGAGTGGGCAAAAGAGGAAAAATTTCCTGCCCTCTTGAGTTTATATTCTAGTTAAATACTGTTCTTTCCACATTTTTATTTCTTTTTATTTCTCAATTATACTAAAAGGATAAATAATTTAAATTAAATTTTTTGATAGAAATATGGCAAGAATTTTAACTTCATCAGTTAGGGAAAATAACTTTTAAAACTGACATCTGAATGCCTCCACAATTAAAAAATGACCTATATTGGCAAGGGGAAATTCATTTATATGTTGGGTATCTTTTAGCTATTGATGATACACTTATCAATCAATGGATATTTATTTACTACTCTGTATATATTTGAACATATTAAGTCAGTTTCATTAAAAAGTGTAAGAAAAGACTTGTGAAAATGGTTTGCTATTTTCAAATGTTAGAGTCATTGGAGAAAAGTTTGGAAAACAAAGTAGAAAGGAGAAATAATAAACACATCACTTGAAGCCAGTTGCTGTAATTATTTAAATGCATTTTCTTTTAGTCTTGTATCCCTCTTAGTTTTTAATACAATTTATTATCAATTGACAAGTTTATAATAACATAATATACTATATAGAAAAATAGAATAATAAAGTAAAACATACTTTGGTTCTATCAAGATTATTTTTCTTGAAGAAAATGGGAAAAAGTAGATTTTTAAAAACAATTCTTAAACTCTTAAGAGTTTCAGTTTCATTTTAGTGCACTTTATTATAGCTGTAACCATAATCATATTATTCTTTATATCTTTATTTTTTATTTAAAATAAAGTAAGCATTTTTCCATGTTATTTTAAAAACTGGTTTTAATTTTATATGAATTTGATACTTATATATAGATAGATTTCCACTGTTGTTGGACATTTATTTATTTATACCAAACTGAGCTTGTGATTAGTAACACCACAGTGACTATTACATGGTTTGACTCTAAATCTTTTGATTGATTCCAGAGGTGAAATTACTGACTCGAAGGCACTGATTATTATTGTAGTTAGTATCCATGAGAATCAAATAGTTGAAAATTAATGAGTACTTACAAGTGGGCCAGAGGTTGTACTGTAAGTGATAAGGTGAGAAAGAGTCACAGAAATGAATCAGAAAGAAATTGTAATCCTTTTTTGATCTCTTCAAGGAAAATCCCACTATGGTCAAAGTAACAATGACAATACAGACAAAGACAAGAGGGACATCAAAGCATGTTTTTAAAAACTTTGGTATTGTCATAGCACCAGAGGCTACGATGATATAACCATTGTTGATCTCTTCTTTTTTAAAAGTAATGTATGTAAATTATCAGAGGAACTAAAGCCCATCCATTATCCCATAAGGCAGAGGGAACCTACGATTGCGTTGGATTTGCTTTCTGTGTGTGTGTGTGTTTGCGGGAGGGACAGGGTGCATAAATGAGGTCATACTGTATGTACGATTTGGTATCCTGCTTTCATTACTTTACATAATGTGGACATTTCTCTGTCACTTTTTTTCAATTTATGATATTGTGTAGCTGCATAACAGTTCATTATTTATTCATTCACATTTATCTTGTTTCTACCTTTGTTGGCTATTATAAATAACACTTCAGTAAATGTTTTTTATAAGGAAATTTGCTACTTCTGATAATGCAATTAGAATAAATGCCTAAAATTGGAATTACTGGTTTAAAGAGAATGCCCTTTACAGATTTCTGAAATTCATCTGTGTGTGTGATGATAGGGTTTACCTTTTAAATTTCTATAGCTGAAGTTGCCCTTAGTTTATGAAGCTGTGTAACGCCAGACACTTTATTTAGGTCCCTGGTCTCTAATTATCTTTCCTTAAACAAATATATGGCTATCAGACAGTAAAGTCATCCATCAATGTCACTAACTAAAAGGAATTTTTGGAGGGTTGGGAAACAAATGATATCACTCAAGATTAATAAAATACTCATTATCGTTATTTTATGCTGATCATATGATTGCTTGGTGGTTTTAACCACCTCTTCAGCCAAATGCATGCTTTCTCTTTCTATCCCAGAGTGCCTTGTGGTTCTGTAAGGATTTCCGAAAGACCGTGTGGACAAAGAATCTGTAACCACACTGCCTCAGTCTCTTTCTCTCTCACCTCAGTCTCTCTCACCCTCTCTCTCTTTCCCTGTCTTTCTCTCTCTCATTTCTCTGGTTACAGGTTATCTTTTTCTCTGGTGGTCTGGCTGGTCTGAAGTATTAGAAATGCCTTTCTTCCTGCATTTTTTTCTGTCCATGCTGACTTCAATCTTTATGATGAGAGTAGATATTTGCTCATCTCTGTGGTTAAATGTAGAAAGAATATGTCTTTGGCAGAGTGCCTCTAGATAGATCTTCCCACCTGGATATATTCCTTATTTTTTCTACTTTAAAACTGTCCCTTTCTCACAAAACAAAGAATGAGGCTGACAACACTTCAGAAACCAGGAGCTTTGTGGAACTGCCTCAACAGAAAGGCCTTTTGGCCTTAATCTGAGCTTTCCTCATCCCCACTTCATTTGGGCAATTAAAGTACTCTTGATTCAGAGAGGTAAACATTGAATTCAGGCTATCAGTGGATGGTGCTCTGAAGTGAATAGTTGATTTCTGTGTGACTTCTAGCATTTAAAAAAAACCCGACATTTGGCTATAGTATAGCATTTATTATGGAACTGTTGATGGCATAACAAACCTGGATCTCCATCTGTTACCCAACTCAGCAGTGAGCTCTCAGGAAGGGCATCTTTGGGGAATAAATCATGGTGAGCTTCAGTCTGCCTGGAGCACGAGACTTAGTTGCTGAATCATGTTATGTTTAATATACTATGTCGAATCAGTCCAAGATGTATAAAGGCTGTAACAGTAGATCCTTATACATTGCATTTTACTGTCATGTCTACCACAAGGAGCAGAAGAAAGGATGAAACTAAGAAGTCACCTTTGTTCCTTCTAGTCAGGATGGGAAAAGTAAAGGTGGCAGAAAACAATGAAGCTATTTGTTAAAATTAGGTTTTTGGCTTTTCTGTTGGATTCCATTTATTCATAATGCTACAGATTTCCATCAAGAACTGAATTCAGGGTGATGTTACTTTACATACTATATGAAGGTGTTGTATATTGTTTTAAATATATAGATGGAGGTATACATTCAGCCTCTAAATTTTGTTAGGAGATTGATACTATATATACAACTGAATCAAAATAGTGATTATTATAAGAACTGGTGTAGATCCTTGAATACATGTGTTATACTATTTTCCAGGGAAAGGAGATGTATTTGGAGACATCTTCTGGAAGGAAACCACCCTTGCTCATGCGTGTGCCAATGTTCGAGCACTGACATACTGTGACCTCCACATCATCAAGCGAGAAGCCTTGCTCAAAGTCCTAGACTTTTATACAGCTTTTGCAAACTCGTTCTCCAGGAACCTCACCCTTACTTGCAATCTAAGGAAACGGGTATGTTGTCTGTATACACTTCCCCTAATTAGTATCCAGAGGTTAATATGTCTATTAGCTGAGCAGTGGAAAAGTTATTTCATTTTGCAGCATATACTACAAAAACGTAGTGACATAATTTTCTTTCCCTTTCTTTACATTTTCTTCTCTTTTAAAGGGAGAAAAAGACCCGGAGTACATGGGTAAATATTTTAATCTTTATTGTTTAAATACAGTATGAAAAACAGTTTGAGGAGAAACAAACTATAATTAGTTAGCTCTTGGGGGTGATAATATTGCCATAAAATTAATATCAGTGCCTCTTATTTTATTATGCAGATTTTTAAAAGCTAGTAAAATTATTTGCCTATTTTATATTCCTGACTCTCTTTAAACTCTCCTTCTTATTTAATAATCATTCACAAAACTTATTCTGTATTAATTCTTTCAAAGTATACTATCTCAGAAAGTAATCCACCACACTGACATAGCCCACAATAAGTATGGGAATCCTTTACTTTGCACTGCTCCTGCAAATACAATCTTCACTGCCATTTTCTATTTAGATGAAGAGTGTGACACAAACTTGATTTGCATAAACAAGTGTCCTAGCTCTGCTTTATAGGTCATTGGACATTGGCTAGGGCTTTTTTAATTGCTAAGAATATGATACATGTTAAGTTAACTGCATTTAAAGAATTAATCTAAAATGATTGCCTGTCTATGGTGAAGTATTTTGAAATAGCAAACATTCTGTTCCACTCCCTTAAGTAGGACCTTCCCTGTAGTTAACATGGAGGAGAAAATCAAGCCTGGAGACAAATTAACATCTCCACTGCAGCAACATAGACACGAATATAAGCAAACCACCATTATCCCCTGTTCACGGTTCTGAGTGAGGATAAGACTGCAGGAGTCATATTTGTACTAGCTGTGTCACAACATTCGATCTATATTTGAGTAGCATTTTCAGTTTATATTTTTGTTAAGAAATAGTTATTGAGCATCCATAATCTGCTTGACAAAATGTAAAAAACTGACAAGAACGCAAACACCAAATACAGAGTCCTGTGCTTAAGTAGCTGACAGCCAAGTGTGAATATTATGTAAACATATATTTGTACAAGTAACTGAAAGTTAAGCTAGTGATGAATGTGGAGGAAGGGCACCAAATATGAGCTAAATATGGAACTTTCTTGCTTATTTATTAGAGAGCCTGGAGTCCCTTTTAGGCAAAAATGTGTCTCCTTTGGTCTGTATTCTGTCATCTCACTGACAAATTCCTTTACTACCAGGCAGCCTGTTTTATATTTGAAACTCTTATGTCTTTTTAAGTCTTCTCCAATATGAATTTTGCCAGTTTTGGAATCTTCCCATATTCTGCAAGATTACCAAAACCCCTCTCCATCATCATTACAGTCCTCAGGGCATATCTTATTCGTCACTGTCCTCCTCAGAGCATCTTGTTTACACAGTATCTCATCTGATGTTTATAATATGCCTGTGAAGAAAAAGGGCAGTTATTTCCCCTTCAAAACACATGAGGAAACTCAGGCCTGGAGGGACTGGTATCAGATCACCAACTGACACATTTGCAGGGCAAGATCTCAAAGAGGGATAATTAAGACAACTCATCAGTAGAAAAAAAAATTGGTTCTTCAAAATGAGTTCATCACAAAGCTCTATTGCCTCTTTTTCTCTTTCACACATCTGAGCACATGCACATCATACACACACACATGGATTATGAGAACTCAGTGCACATACCAGCATCGCACATACCAGAGGTACTGATAGGAAGAGAAGCTAGAAACAGAAAACTCGTATTGTTTTTTAATGGGACCTGGGAATGGTGTACCTGCCTCTTCAGGTTTCTGCACACAAGTTACATCAAATAGCTTTTTCCCCTATGTAACCTGTCACCTGTAACACCTGTGTCAGTTTTCTTTACTTGTTTTTTTTAACGATTCCAGCTCTTCTGCAATCAATGGATAGTCTTAATAACTTGGCAAAATGTAGGGTGAGGTGTATTTTCAGTCAGTGTCACTTTAGTCTCAGAAAAAAATACTCTCATAAAAAGGAAACTGTGGGGAAATACCCTCCAATGATTTGTGAGAATAATTATTATTTAGAGAGCCTACTTAATAGCCAGGCACTTCAACATATTTTATATATAATAACTGATCTTATTAAAGTCACCAAACCATAGATGAAGCAGTATATTCTCAATAAGGAAGTCGAGGTTTTGAGGGTTGGACAGCTAGTCACCATATAAATTATGAGTCATGTTCTGCATTTGAATCCATCTCTGTCTGATTCTGAAATGTATAATATCTAGAATATACTATGTTGCTTTGGCTTGTCAAAGTAGCTGACATTTTTTTTCCACAACACTAGTCCACAGGCACGTTATGAACAGAACCTAGAATTTCTCATTCACTCAGTCACTTTAACTTTGTTCTCCATTGAGCTATTAATAAAAAAAGATTCTGTCCTTATTGCTATTATTGTAAGCATTCTTGCAATGAACATTCATTGTGAATCATGTAATCAAAACTATGTTCTTAGAATGGTCCTGCTATCTCATAGCTACCATAACCATTAAATAAGGGCATGTTCCTAGTAAGTCGGGGGAGAACATTTAGAACCCGTATTTCCAGCCATCATAGATCACAGCTCTGGCCACACGACTGCAGGAGGTGGTTCGGTGGAGAGGTGTGTACCCTGTGAAGTTCTCCATGACTGCAATAGGAAGAAATGTGGTAGTACTCTAGCTGCTTGCTTCCCTCTCTGTTGAGGAAAAATAAGATATTTGTTGTGTGAATAAAGCTATAAAGCTCCTGCTAACCAGTCTTAAGTCCCTGTCTATAAAAACTCTAGAAATCTAACTGGTAATTTCACCCAATAACTAGAGCAGGTGTTGGCAAAATTTTTCTGTCAAGGATCATATAGCAGATATTTTAGGATTTGAGAGCCGTATAGTCTCTGTCTCAACAACTCAACCTTGCCACTGTAGTGTGAAAGCAGCTGCCTTACTCAGGGTGCCATAACAAAATGCAGTAGGCTGGGGGACTTAAACAACAGGACTTTATTTCTCACCCTTCTGGAGGCTGGGAAGTCCAAGGTCAAGATGCTGGCCAATTCAGTTCCCCAGTAACCACTCTTTTCTTCCTGTCTTGAAGATGTCTGCCTTCTGGGTGTGTCCTTACATGGTGGCTGGGGGAGAGAGAAACAGGGGTCAGGGGTGGGAGTGTGCAGGGTGGGTGTGGACTGGGAGAGAGATAGAGGGAGGAAGAGAAAAAGAAGGGGAGAAAGAAGCAATCTTTGGGGTCTTATGTACCCACTAATCTCATCATGAGGGCCCCACCCTCATGATCTCCTCTAAACCTAAATACCTTCCCAAAACTCATTCTTCAAATATCATCACAATGGTTGGCTAGGGCTTCAATATGTGAAATTTGTGGGGAGGGGGACACAAGTCCATGGCAGCTACCAAAGGTAGTATGTAAGTAAATAAGCATATTTATATTTCGATGAACCTTTATTTGCAAAAGCAGGTGGCTTTCATGGGTCTTAGTGTGTGGAAATGGAGTGGAAGTTAGATGGGAATGACAGTGGGTATGCAAATAGAGTTCCATCCCTGTTTATTAGGAAGCAACTCTCTACTACTTGCTACCCAGCCAGAGGGTGATCATGAAATGGAAACTACCATATATAAAGGTGGTCACACACAAAACAAAAAAAGAGGTGGCTATAGGAGCCAGGTAGAAAACCCACTTGAGTGAGGCAAGGCTTACGTGGCTGCAGACTGGAAAGGTCACACCATATGCAAAAGGGGCAACTGCTCCTTAGTCTGGTTGCCTATGCCTTGCTGGTAGGCAGCCTAGTGTTGCTTGGTCTGCGTATTTATATCCCCAAGAAGACAGACTGTGACTCTTTATGTGAAATCACATTAATTTGATAAGTAATCTGCTGTTTTTTAAAATACTATGGTCAATGAAAACAAGTCAGCTTGCTGTTAGTCTAACAGTTTGGGAACTAAATTAAATGATTTTATGAACTCCTGATCTCATGATACTAGAAACCTGAACTTTTTCCTGGATCCTGTAAATTTGCATGAGAAAAATTGTTACATCTTTTTTTTCTTTGATTTCTAAGTGATATTTAGCTATTTCTTCAATTACAAAGGTTAGTAACAAACTGCAGTATGATTAGAAGTACTAAAAGAAATCATAGATATTTAAAAATCATATTGTATTTGTTGAAGATATCCTGAAATATTGTTTATGTTTTATTTCTACTTAATAATTATGGTAGTCATTAGACCTCCTGCTGGGATGATATTATTACACTGATAAAAAAACACATAGGTTATCTTGTGAATTATTTTTTAATATTTTGATAACTGGATTTCAATATAATGTATTTCCTTTGCAATACTATGCATTTTATTTTGTGCATTTAAAGCAATTCTTTTAAAGTGAGCCCTTCTCCACAGGCTTTACTAGATGGTTGGAGATTAAAATTCTCTGAATGAGAGTCAGAAACTAAACAATTAGAGCAGTGTGATTTTTTTTTCAATAATAAGAACACAATTCCATAACTTCCAATAAGTTCAAACATACTCAGAAAAGGCACAGGAAAGCACCAGAGGAAGGTTGATTCACTTGATGACTTCATTTATGTATTTATTTACTTAAGGTACCATTAACTGCAAGGACAAAAGAGTGTTCATTAACTTGAGGACCAGCCCTCAGGCATATAGCTCTGAGAAAGCAAGCAGTGTGGGTGATATATAAGTTTTAAAGGATTCTAATCAAACTTTTAAAATAATTCATGCCCTTTTGCTTCTTCTGCATGCTTGTTATAGAGTGATGTTTCCCATTTGTCTGAAGAGTTAACATGGCAGGCACACCAGCTGACCTTTGAAAGACCTGCTTATAAAGCGAGCCTTTGGTTGGCATCTGGGAACTTGGATTTCCAGGCCATTCTTGCTACTCATACTGATAAGAGTGGCTTAC